TGTCACATGTCTGGAAGTTACCAACTATGTGACCTTCAGCAAGTTACTCAGTCTCCTCATCTGCAAGTAGAAGAGAATGTCTCCTGGGGTTTTGGGCAAGGTTAAATTAACACATATACAGTACTTATCACAAAAAAAAAAGGTACATAATAAATCTGACTCTGTTTCTCCATTTTTACAGTATCCTAATGTGCATGTTCACTTGGAATAAGTCCTTATAGAATACCTAGCTCAGCAGAATGCTGATACTGAGATGTTTTTTAAAAATGTCTACAATTGGGCCAGACACAGTGGCTCACACCTGTAATCCCAGCACTTTAGGAGTCTGAGATCGGAGGATCACTTGAGGTCAGGAGTTCAAGACCAGCCAGGGCAACGTGGTAAAACCCCATTTCTACTAAAAGTACAAGATTAACTCGGGGTGGTAAAGGGTGCCTGTTATCCCAGCTACTTGGAAGGCTGAGGCAGGAGAACCACTGGAACATGGGAGGCAGAGATTGCAGTGAGCTGATATCACCACACTGTACTCCAGCCTGGGTGACAAGAGGAAAACAAGACAAAACAAAACAAGTCTGCAATTATAAAAGTGCCAAAGTAAAGTGCTTTTACTTATTTTATTTTCTTTTTTTTTTTTTTTTCTTTTTTTTTTTTGGAGACGGAGTTTCGCTCTTGTTACCCAGGCTGGAGTGCAATGGCGCGATCTCGGCTCACCGCAACCTCCGCCTCCTGGGTTCAAGCAATTCTCCTGCCTCAGCCTCCTGAGTAGCTGGGATTACAGGCACGCACCACCCATGCCCAGCTAATGTTTTGTGGTTTTAGTAGAGACGGGGTTTCACCATGTTGACCAGGATGGTCTCGATCTCTTGACCTCGTGATCCACCCACCTCGGCACCTCGGCCTCCCAAAGTGCTGGGATTACAAGCGTGAGCCACCGCGCCCGGCCTTATTTTATTTTCTTTTACTTGAACCTTACAGTAATCCTATGACTGGGGTCTCCATTCAGGATTAGCATGCTGAAGATTGGCTCACTAAAACAAAATTAAATATTTGTTAAATGCAAGTTATGTGTCAGATGACAGGGTAAACAAGACAGATTATCTGCCCTCATGGAGTTTATAATCCATCAGGATCTTTTTTGAGTATTTCTGACATTTTGTGTTTCTGACTTGTGTAGCTATCTTGATCTAATACTAAAAGTAGGAAGGAGCTATTTTTTTTTTTTTTTTTGAGACGGAGTTTCGCTCTTGTTACCCAGGCTGGAGTGCAATGGTGTGATCTCGGCTCACCGCAACCTCCGCCTCCTGGGTTCAGGCAATTCTCCTGCCTCAGCCTCCTGAGTAGCTGGGATTACAGGCACGTGCCACCATGCCCAGCTAATTTTTTGTATTTTTAGTAGAGACGGGGTTTCACCATGTTGACCAGGATGGTCTCGATCTCTTGACCTCGTGATCCACCCGCCTCGGCCTCCCAAAGTGCTGGGATTACAGGCTTGAGCCACCGCGCCCGGCCTGGAAGGAGCTATTACTGTCAATATCTATAGTTAACCTGTTAAGAGTATTCCAATAATGAGACATTTTCAGGTTGACTAAGCTGTTTTCTGGAGATGTATGAGAGGTGTAATATGAACACTTTTGTTAGAGCTGGGGAGAAGTTTATTTTCTTTTAGCCTAAGAACATAGAACTTTAAAAAATGGTGACCATGGCCGTGTGTGGTTGCTCATGCCTGTAATCCCAGCACTTTGGGAGGCAGAGGTGGGTGGATCACTTGAGGTCAGGAGTTCCAAGGCCAGCCTAGCCAACATGGTGAAAACCTGTCTCTACTAAAAATGCAAAAATTAGGCAGGCATGGTGG